CCAGTTGATGGGGAGAAGAAAATGTCATTGTTTAAATTTCCATTTTCCGGGTAATGATCGGTTTGTCCATCTTTTCACATTGGCTGGCCTTTTCCTCCCTCCCACAAGAGGCCAATTCATAGCCTTCCTCTGTTTCTCGATTGAATTCTGCATTCTTTCCCTATGACGCGTCCTTTATGGATTCTCAGCAGTAATTTTTAAAATATCTTTGGCCAATATTTTTCTCTCAATCGCTCTAGCTTTTAACATTGCATTTTCCTACAAAAGGGTGTAATTTATTAACAACAACCTATTCATGTTAAAGGACATGATTCCTGGGCTTATCTCCTCACCCCAAAACTGTATGACTATTCCCTTTATTCCTCCAATGCCTTCATAGTTTGCTTCTTCTGTTTGGCACAGTCCTTTATCTGAAATTCAATGCTGTGTGTGTGGTGAGAGCTGACGTCGTCACTTTACTTTTCCCGCGTTTAATGGCGTGCCCCAATCCCACTCAATACTCGGTCATCATATTAACATTCTAGGGGTTCTCATACTTTTAGCTCTCAGGATTCCTCTACACCCTTGAAATGACTGAGGGCTCCAAAAACTTGAATGTATGTGGGCTGTATCTATTTTCCTATATCACGTTTGAAATTCAAGCGGAGTAAATTTAAAACAAGGAAAGTCACAAGCACTCAAGTAACTATTGGGAGGTAACAGCCTCCTCCTGCGTTGGGGGGGGGGGCAGGACCCCTGAACGGCAGCAGGAGCGTGGAGCTGGAAAACGAGCTTGGCTATATCACTCCAAAGCTAGTCCGGAGAATCCCCGGGGAAACGTCTTGGGGACCCAACAGGCCCCCGGGGCCCTGCCTGGGAGCCCTGTCAGTCCCCCTCTGCTGGTTTGACTGCCTCCCTCAGGCCCCTGCTGAGCCCAGGGCCGGCTGCTCGGTCCTGCCTGGGTTCTAGAACCTTCCCCCACCCAGAGGGGTCTCCCTGTCTTTATTTACCTGAAAAATCTCCCCTGCCCGGTCCCATGCGTCTATTTCACAATCTTGTCTGTCCTAACTCATTTCTCTTCCTGATCCGTTTGTTGAACCCCATTTATTCGGTTCCAGTTGGGGTTTTGGTCGGAAGTATAGTGACGCCCTAGGTGAACCTGCGGCCACTCCATACGCTCTTGCCTGGTATAAAAGCAGGCACCCCACCACCAAACACACACGCACCGCACACACCTCGCCCACGCTCACGACACTCACTGCGTGTGCCCCCCGGCCACACACAGCAATGCGGGAGCAGGCCCTTGTGCCGGGCCAGGTGTGGGTTCCTGCCTCTGTCTAGGAATTCTAGGGTGCGGACTCGACGAGGCAAATAATGCTGACAAGTCCCCAACATCCGAAAGTATTTAATGCCGATGAAGACACTCTGGAGGACAAAACGGGGTTCCGCTGATACCCGCTTTTCCAGCAAGGCGGGTCCTGTTCGTGAGCTTCTTATCTTACTGTACGTTGTGGGGGAAAATGAGTGACTGTCAGTAACATTCTGAGGTTCTCGAAATCAGCACTTGACAGGCGGGGGCCAGACTCAGACGCACAGGAGCCCAGACAGGCATCCAGGCCACCAGCACAGCCAGACACCAGGGCCCGCAGCCAGCTCGGGAGGGGGGGTGGCCCTGGGCTTCAGCATTCTCTGGTCTTCTGGAATCCAGGGGATTTGGGTCCGTGAGGAAACCCACGTGAAACACACAGACTTTGAAAGTTAAAGCTATTACTTGGAGCTATAACCTAAAGCTGTTACTTTACATAAGAAAGCTACTATTTGGCACTTGGCAAAATAAGGTGCAGGCAGCCTGCCTGCTGAGGTGGAGAGGCGGGCAGGGCCGGTAGCAGAGTCAAGCTCCCCTGGGGCTCTGAGGCCCGGGCTGGGGAGCAGGGTGTGACATCACAGCCACCTGGCCTTGCAGACCTGAGCTCCGAAGCCACTTTACATCTGTCACTTGGCATCCTGAGAAGTGTCCTTCCTCACCCGCCGTCTGAGACCAGCTTTAGTTCTTTCTGACCTGTGTGTGAGCTCTCGTAAGAGGCATGGCGTCTCGGGGTCTCCGCTTCCTACCTGAAAAACGAAGGGTTAGAATAAATCAGGTCTCAACTTGGGGTCCTGTATAGTCACATACCAGGGGAGTTTTTAAGCCTTCTGACATAAAGGAGACATTGGTGTGCCCTTTTCCTGCGAGGTGAAGGGAAAGCCAGAAGGGGTCCGTAGAAAACACTTGGTTCCAAGACTTCTCCCCTTTGTGAGTGGCTGAATACCGGGGTGTCCTCACGGGCTGCCCAACCCTCCATCCGCACCCCTGGAACCGTCTCCCTGGCCTGCCTTCCCGGAACACACAGCCCTGCCTCCTTAAGGCACAGGGACCCCGCCACCCCCACCTTGTCCCAAGAACAGAGTTGGGTGCACAGAGCTCAGCATGGTGGGGATCCACGGGGGTGTCCCCACGGGCGTTGTCAGTCTTTTTCGACACCTGATCATCTGTCCAGGCCTCGGCTACCGCCTCTTGGGTGGTGGCTGTGGGAATTCAAAGCCACCCGGTCTCATGGTGGCGAGGGCGCGTGAGGTTGGCTGGCGGGGTGGCCTGTTTCCTCTTTCCTCCTTCTAGAAGAATCAGTAAGTGAGATGTGATGCTTTGAAGAGCCTGTTGTGCACACGTGTATTCCTTCATCTTACGACATGGCTACGTCCCGGCAGCTGTTCAGGTACCTGCACCTGAGGAAGCTGGAGGGGGTGGGAGGCGCCAGCAGGTTCCCAGGCCCGACCAGAAGGGCCGGACTCCGCCAGCAGAGGGCGGGGCGCTCCTGCCCCTAGGGAAGAGTGGACACAGGAACCCTCCCCAGCCTGTCTATCTAACTGGCAGAACCAAACTGCCAGGCCTCGCCTCCCAGCTCCTAACGTTCCTTACGCACATTACTTCACTCCTTTCTGCCTCAGTCTCCCTCTTGGCTCAGCAGAGATCGCACTAGGATTGAGCCTGAGACATGAGCCGGGCCGGGAGCAGGTCGGCGATTCTGTGAGCTGGGCGGTGTATCCTGCTGTCCATAAAGTGCTTCAAAAGCACATGAAGTATCAAGATAGAAAAATGCACTTTTGTTATTGCTGTTACAGTAAACCTTTAAAAACCCCGTCCCCGGTAGCAGCACCCCCTTGGGGGAGTCACTGCGAGTGGCCTGCAATAGGGGATAGCAGCGTCTGGTGACTGCCCGGCTCACGCCTAAGTGCGTCGTACAGAGTCTGACGGCGCCATCATGCTGCGGGGCGACGCCTCAGTGTCTGAGGGCCCGTTATCGCTGTGCTGCTGTGACTAGTAAGAAGCCTTCCGTTCCGTTCTTTAATCGCCTTTCCATCCTCGGCCACTTCTCGGCTCCGTCTCGTTGGTCACCTCCTCTTGGGTCTCTCTCTGGTCTTTTCCTTCCAGCTCGGGCTCGACCATGGCTGCTGTCAGCTCCGTCCACACACCTGCTCCCTCGAGCCAGTCTCCGCTGCTCGGCTCCCTCTGCCTCGGTCTCTGCTTTCATGCCCACGCGTGCTGGGAGCTGTCTTGGGCGGGGGGTGAGGGCAGAAAGGGGAGCTTCCGTGAGCCTCCCGGCCACAGGCAGCTGAGAGCAAGGCTGTCTTCGCCCCGTGAGCCACCGCCCATGTGTACAGCTCGGTCTGCATGCCTGAGTAACCTGTAACCTGGAGAAAGGGAGAGGTGGCCCAGGGGAGCCCAGGGGCAGCCCAGGGGAGGGATCCCCTCTCTGCATCTCTCCGGCCCCCACTGACCTTCCCTACCCACCTGTATCTGCTCTTCTCAATTACCACCAGAGTTTTCCTCTGCACGGATGCGGCTGCCCCCCCTCTTTGGTTCACCCCTGTGACTCTCGCTGTACGGAGCAGCCGGGCCCACTGGGGGTTTTTCTGGAAGGGCCGGCTGCCCTCTGACCCGCTGGTGCGGGAGCGTTTTCCTCCTGTTCATTTCCAGGGCGCTGTTCTGAGAGCTCGCGGTTCTAGACGTTCGGACTTGAGGAGAGTAAACCCCAGCTTCTGCGAGAGGGTCCAGTGGCTTATTCTGGTGTTGAGGGTCAGTCAGCGGGCAGGCTCCATCCACGACTGGTTGGGGTGCCTCCATGCCCCGAGGTGCCTTGTCCACAATACGTGGCAGGTGACGGGATGGCGCTGGACAATCCATTTCTGTAGCCAGTGCCGAAGGGTCC